CCCTGTTCTATCCTCCAGAAGTTGCCTTGCTCAGAATAGCCTTCTAAAAATGAGGCTCTTATATTATGACTTCAACCCACTTCTGTTCTCAGTGTGTTAGCCTATTTCTCTAGATATTGTTTATTTACTTCCCAAGTCCCAAACCGTCTACTAATGGATCCGTTTCACAAAGGATATATACAAGAATCAGCCAGGTCTCGGAAAACGATTCCCTAATCCGAGATCCCAAACACTGGGAATTGCTGTGCAGCCTCCCCCTCCCTCTCCTTTCCTCCTCCACATGACTAATTTAGAGACGTTTCTGAGTCCTGGAATGCCAATCGATGTATTTATAGTCCAACTTCACAAAGAAAGGGAGTTCAAAGGGAACTAACCCTGGTTGATTATTCACTGTGCGTCAACTGTCTTAGCCACATCTTCTCATTTTATTTCATGTAACAACCTCCAGCATAGTTTTGTTACTACCCTAATGTTGCAGATGAGAAAACAAGGCTAAGTAAGTGACGGAGGAGGGATGCCAACCGAGGTCCATATAACAGAAAGCATATTCTCAGCCTGCACTCCCCATTGCCCTGTCCCATGAAGACATGGGGACCCTTTGACGAGGGCTGTAATTCCATCCCATCAGCCGGGGACGCTGCCGAGCACTGTTGATCAGGGCACCAATAACTCCTCTGGGTTTCTTGGACCCCGAGAGCAGCCTAAGCTCCCACCCCCACTCTTCACTCCTGGTACATTGTCAGTCATCTTGTAAATGCACCTCCTTGGTCATTGGTTTGGCAGATGGGTGAGAGGGACGTCTGCAACTATAACTATAACTTAGCCAATTCCCCAATGACAGTGGCATCAATAGTGCAACCACTGTCCCTGAGAATAAGCCACTGCTGTTCTCATGGCCTCTTTTCAATGAGATGAAAACCATTCTGCAAGGACCACTGTCTTACCCCGTCCACGGCACTCAGAGTAAAGAACTGGCATGAAGAGTCCAAGGTGCTGAATACTCTTGGATGGGGGTTATGAAGATGACAGGGAGATGACACCTGCTCAATACAAAGCCGGGCACACACAAGTATTTTTGTGTGTGTGTGTGTGCGTGTGTGCATGTGTGTTTCCTGGCTCTGGAAAGGATGGTGTCTGTTCTGAGCAGCTGCACACACCAAAACCCAGCATTTTAAGTTCTGTCCACATCAGACTGTTTGCTTCAAATACCCAGGCATGGTGTTCAGGGCACCTGAGAAGAGGAGAGGATTATGGCCCATGAAACCCAGATATGATGTGAACCTTTGAAATCGAATTGCAGACCAGGCAGAGGAGGTATAGCCTTACCGGGGCACAGTATCACATTGCTCACACTTTCCTTTCTTGGCCGGAGGAGATGGGGAGGAGGAGCAGATACATAACATAATCTTCCAATGAAAGTGAAACACCAGTTGATGGCAGCAAGTTTGGGCTCTGTGGTGAATTCAGTCAAGAAAGAAATCCCTGGCTGTTTACCATGGCAGTTAGCTTAGCTTGTAAGCACCTTTATTTCCTGTGTCTGCAGAGCCGAGGGTATGCACAGACTCAGCTCCAGCTGGGAGGGATCTGTGTCGTCATTTTGACACATCCCCTTTGTTGTACAAGTGATGGCACCAAGGCCCAAGGTGACAGCATCTGTTATGAGGAGAGGAGGCTCTGGAACCCAGGGCTCCTGGAGTTGAGGCAGTTATTCACTTACTCTAGGCTTTAATAACAGCTCATAGTTACGTATGGCTTTTAGGGATGGGAGGAGCTACCAGCCCAGCAGAGGTGACCGGCTTTAGATGACAAGTTGGAATAGAGGGAAGAATAGAAGAAATGCAAAGCCAAAGTCTGAATTAATTTCCAGCCTAGAGGCAGGCCCTCTTGGAGTGGATGGAAGTCTAAGTGTCAGCTGTTGCGCTCTCACCTGCTCCATGGTGCAGCATGGGGTTGCTGAGACTCACAGGACTTAATTAGCCCAAGCTTGATGGGGCCATGTTTGCTCCCAGTCACAGAACCTTCAGCTGCAGGAGACAAAACACCTCCAACTCTCATAATGGCTTTCCTGTGCACAAAGCACTTTCTCATCCATCATCATTCAACAGCCTCATGGGGTTGGCGCCCTTATCTTCCCTCTGCATGTGAGGCCACTGAAGGCCAAGGTCCCTTAGCCAACGGGATATCAGTGGGATTCAGCCCGTCAATTCCTTTTCTGCTCAAGAGGTCACCGTATCACAGAGGCCTCGTCTGAACATTCCGCACACCTCCATCACTTTCTTACTTTATATGTGATCCACTTTATCTGGCATTTTTAGGCTGTCTGTTGCCCTACTAAGGTAAGCTCACCGAGTGTGGGTCTTGTCACCACTGAATCTCCAGGGCCCTCAGGATGTGTTTGTTAACAGTAAGTGAGTTATGCATTTTCATTTGACAACATTTGGCTATGATCTGCCCCAGGCCCAATGCAAAAAGCAAGGCCCCTTGCCTGGGGGGCCCTCCACTATAGTTGGGGTTAAAGACCAGAGGACACACTTAATGGATCAAGATAGCAGCAACTCAGTCCTGGGGGTGGCCGCGGGGCCAGCCTTCTGCCCTCAGGGGGCGCATTAGGGTGATTTGGGTGAAGAGGTGTTTTTTAGGTTTGTTTTTGTTTGAGAGAGAAAGAGAAACATTGACCCGCTGCTCCCCATTTATGCATTCATTTGTTGCCTCTCTTTTTGGAGGGCCCCATTTATTTATTTATTTTTAATTTATCTTTATTGTTGAAAGTATTACAGATGTCCCTTTCCCCCCCATTGACCTTCTTCAATACCCCCTCACCCTAGACCCCCCACCCCCTCCTGCTCCCTCCCCAGGCCTGCATTGTGCACTGTGCATGTAAGTTCCTTGGTTAATCTCTTCCTGCAACCCCTCCCTCTGAAATTCATCAGTCTTTAATGTCTCTGGATCTATTTTGTTCATTTTATTTTGTTCATTAGATTCCACATATAAGTGAGATCATGTGATACTTGTCTTTCTCTGACTGGCTGTTTCCGCTTAGCATAATTCTCTGGTCTGTGCCCTCGCCCCAGATTTAACCTCAACCTGGGTTTATGGGGATGACTCCGCTAACCAACTGCTCTCCCCTGCCAGGGCTGAGGTGAGTTTTCAGGTGGCTATAGAAAGCTCCCACTGGCTGCAATGACAGGAGCCAATCTTGTGTTGCTTCCCAAAAGCCTAGTTTTTTTTTTCTTTTGAACCAATTTCACTGGCAATCAATGGTGAGAAATTAAATGGATTCATTGGACTAAGTAGATTGAGCTAGTGAAAAAAAATAGCCATCTGCCGGGGCCGAGGAATGAGCAATCTGTTGGTACTTTTTCCGCAGAAATTTGGCATCTGCTTAGCGGTGTACACCATTTGCACCTCAGGAAATGCGTTTTACACCCCATGACCCTGGTCTTTCCTCCGGGTTAAAAAAAAAAAGGGGGGGGGGCAACGAAATATTAGAAAATAGTAAAAAAAAAATCAAAACCCTTTCATGTTTTCGGCTGGTATTTTAGCGACTTAAGCCAACTGCACAAACTAGCCTTGCAGTGGCGGCGAGAGCCCCGCAAAGGGAATGCGGACGGGAGCCCGGCCAGCGGGCAGCTGCAAGCCTGGCAGCCGGCTGGCTCCTCGCTCGGCCGAGGCCGCCCCGCGGCCCCCGCGGCAGGAGGCGACTCTCCCCGCTCGCTGTCGGCACCCACGCGGGACTAAAAAAAAGCGAGCACACCTTTTTTCGGGGGCCACCACGCCCCTCGCTGGAGGTAACGAACGAGCCGCTGGAGTCAGCGCTGGGGGCG